AAACTGAGCATACTTAGAAATGTATACTTTAAACTGAGCATGGTCAGAATGTGTCCACCTGTAAAGTGCTTTCCTTGTAAATAGTATAGGTGGCCAGAATAAAATCATCATGCTTCCCGTACTAAAGGAGAGTGCTTTTTTGGAAATAATTCCAATGCTCTCCTCACCTGCCGCGTGTAATAAGTCTTTCTTTATTCTTTTGCCTCCTAGTTGTTCTTCTTTATTTTGCACTCAGCAAGATTTGAACACATTGCATTTGGTTACAAAAATATGAAGGACCATCGAGAAACATGCTTCTATAGGCAGCCAGCTTGGGCAAAGAGAAACAGCCAGACTGGCCCCTGAGTGCCTGCTGCCATTGAGGCACTTGCTTCCCTCTCATAACCAGTACAGGCAGGGAGAAATAGCCACATGCACCCCTTACACCAGCAGGATGTCATTGAAGACTCTTGCTTCTCACAGGCAGCCAGCGCAGGCCAGGAGAATCCCTTGTGCACCTACCATCATCAGGGGCATGCCAGTGTAGCCATGCAGGCCCAGAGAAGAAGCAGCTCCCCCACCATGCCCATGGCCATCAGGGAAGCCTCAGTGTAGCCTCACAGGACTGGAGAAGCCATGGCTTCCCTAGGAACCTAGGTTCAGAGAAATCCAGGCGCCTGGACCATTCCCCTACACCGCAGAGGGGCAGCCAATGCAGGAAGCACCTGAGACCCCACAACTGGCTTCTCAAGAGGAACCCAGGAAAATGTTCACGATGAAGGAACAAAAGGCAGTCTCAGACCTCCAGCCCAGACAGAACAAGACTGGAAGATATAAACATGGAAGAAAAGGGAAGTCGTACACCTGAAATCTCTGAAAGGATAGCAACTAAAGAAACAACTTCACGAGGCTCTAAAAGTAATCAGATCAGATGGACTGAAAAAATAACATATTTTCATGATAAAGAACAATCGAAGAAATTCATGACCACCAAATCAACCCTACAGAAAGTGCTGGAGGATATTCTAGAGAGCTAAAGATGACCATGGTTCAGAGGAAGATGGCCAGACAGGGCAGGCAACTGAATGATGGGGATAAGTGAGGGGTCCACAGCAGGAGAATAGCATGGCAGAGACGAGCCAATGCAAGCCAGTCATAACCATTCATGTAGATGGCCTCAGTTCACCAATAAAAAGAAACACAGGAAGAGTAACAAAATCTATCAATACGCTGTTCATAATTTAAATCGAAAGGAAGCTCATAGAGGAAAAGTCCAAGGAAAAAAACAGGAAACCAGAAAAAGCATAGTTAGCTTTCCATCAATCACAGGCTGAATAAGATAAAGATACAGTATTTTTATACAATAGAAAGCTACTCAGCTATAAAGAAGAGTAATCTCCAGGCTCTTGTAGGTACCTATCTTGTGGGTAGGAGAGATGAACTTGAGATAATGCTCCTGGGTGAAATGGTTCAGACTCATAAAGGTGAATATTGTGTTATCTCCCCAGCATAAAACTGAAGGTGTTAGTGGGATCCAAAACGTACAATAGATATTGTGAAAGTGATAAGGGAGAAAATATCTAAAAAGGGAAGATGGTAACCATTGTTAATTTCCAGTTATCTTTTTTGAATTCCCACATCACTTTCATTGTTTTGTTAGGTTTGGTTTTATTGTATTGTTTTGTTTGATTTTATTATATCTGGTGGTATGCACAGCTATTTTGAAGTTAACAAGATATAGTATGGTAGCCATTGTTGATTTCCTATTATCAGGTTTTGGATCCTGTAACACTTCCATTGTTTTATTTTGATTGAGGTTTTTTTCTGTTTAGTTTTCTTTCCTTTTGTTTTGTTTTTTTTTTTATGTCTGATAGCATGGACAACTATTTTTAAGAAAACAAGAGACATGCCAAACACTGTTGATTTCCTGTTATCTTGATCTGAAGTTCTGTATTGCATTCATGGTTCTATTTTGATTGGTTTTATTCTGTTTCATTTTGTTCAGTTTACTCTCTTTAAAATAAAAAAAAAAAGCATGTGAAAAAATTGTGGAAGAGTCCTTCTGTTTCCTTACACAGAGCTTCTGCCTGACGCAAGAAAATGCCCAAAGGGCCTTGGTGCTGGGCGATTGATTCAGCCTTTAGTCCTCACATAGCCTCTCAAATAGGAAATTCTTTGATCTTTAAGAAAATGAAAGACATTTTATGAATCCTGAAAGTTGGTCAAAAATTATCATACCTGCAAGTGTTTAACTTGTGAATATCAAATGCCGCTGTGATACAAATCCCGAGTGTGATTTCTTTTATAAACTACAGTAAGTCAGGGCTTATGCTAGGAGCTTCACAGTTGCTGCAGAGTTTGCCAGGTGTTGAGCAAACTCATCCTGCAGAAGGGTTGGACTCCATCTCTTCCTCTATTTGGAGAATCATTCCAACACTTCTTGAAGCTGAGTTTCATCCAATTGATCTTGGTAGAACAAGAATTGAAGCAGCTCCTAATCAGCATCAGGAAGAACAAAGGCCACAGTAAACGGCTATGGGAAACATCAGGGGGTTGAGGAATATTTCCTTTGAAAGAAAGAACTGGAGATTCCTGTCAGATTTGAGACCCAGAGGACTTTAACAAGTAGAGGACCTCATACTTGTTAAATAATCTCATGCAAAGTAGTCTTGATTACACCTTGAAGCTCCAGGCCCCTCTCCCCTGGACACCTGGGTGCAATTATCCACAGTTCATCTATCTGAAAGAAAAGCTGCATCTGGATCTGATTCCCAGGCTGACTTCACTCTTTCCAGATGCTCATCCATTTTCTGAAACAAAATTTAAAAGAACCAGGTGGAAGAGGGACCCTCTGGAAATAATACATCACCACTTCAAGCATCTGCTTTAAGCTTTATGATCAACAACTTGCTTATTCTTCCACCCAGTTTGTCCTAGTGACAATATTTACATGTGGATATGCTCATGTTAAGAGATAATCGGGCTGTTTTCTTTTGGCACACCCCCAGACTCTTGGTGTCGCCATGGGACACTGTCCAGCCAGGGTTACCTGTATTGTAAGAACAAGCCATACCCAAAGTCCTGCTTCTGCCAAGGTGTCCCTGATGCCAAGATCCACATCTTTGACCTGGGGCAGAAGAAGGCAAAAGTGGATGAGTTTTCATTCTGTGGCCATACTCTGATGAGTATGAGCAGCTTTCCTCGGAAGTTCTGGAGGCGGCTCGGATTTGTGCCAACAAGTACATGGTGAAAAGCTGCAGCACAGACGGCTTCCACATCTAAGTGTGGCTCCACCCTTTCCATGTCCTCCGCATCCACGAGATGCTGTCCTGTGCTGGGGTTGACAGGCTCCAGACAGGCATGCAGGGTGCCTTTGGGAAGCACCAGGGCACAGTGGCAAGGGTTCACCTCAGACAGGTCATCATGTCTATCTGCACCAATCTGTAGAACAAGGAGCATGGGATCAAGGCCCTACGAAGGGCCAACTTAAGTTCCTTGGCGGCTAGAAGATCCATATCTCCAAGAAGTGGGGCTCCCCCAAGTTCAATGTACATGAGTTTGAAGACATGGTGGCCAAGAAGCACCTCATCCCTGAGGTGGGGTAAAATACACCCCAGCTACTGACATTCAGTGTATATTCCTTGTATTCAGATCATAAAAATGAGCACTTTGGAGGAAAAAATACAATAAAAGATATGGTCCCAGACTTCTAAGAACAAACCTTCTATTACTGATTGAATGTTTCCACCCTCTTCAAAGCTCATGTTAAAACTCAAAGGCCAATCCTGTAACTCCAGCAGTAGGAGCTAATCATGAGATCAAACCCAGCCCAGGCTCTGTAGCAAATTTCAGGACAGCTTGAGCTATGTAGAAAGGTTATTTTAAAAAATTATATGTAACAGTGTTGGGAGCTGCAGCCTAATGGGAGGTATTTGGATTATTAGGGCTTTGTCCTTGTGAATAATTTAATGTAGCATCATTTTGTGTGTGTGTGTGTGTGTGTGTGTGTGTGTGTGTGTGTGTTTTCACTTTTTATCGGTACCAGGGATTGAACTCATGACCGCCTACTTGCAAGGCAGGTGCTTATGCCGCTGAGCTAAATCCCCAGCCCCCAACATTATTTTTTAAAAAAAGGTGGCAGGACTGGGTTTGTTCTCCTGTTTTTCTGCCACATGAGCAGCTTTCCTTCCCCTGAAGGATCAGATTCAGGGCGTCACACTGGAAGTATAGAGAGCAGTACTTACTGGACAATGGACCTGCTGGAGCATTGGTTTTAAGACTACTCAATCTTCAGAACCAAGAGAAATAAATTCCTGGTTTTTGTAAGTTTCCAGTTTCAGGTATTCTGTTGTAATAGCACAAAATGAATTAAGGTATCTTCCAAAGGGTGAGGTAAAACCCACCCAAGGATAATTAGATGCTTCCCAAATGACTCTTGTGATGCAAGGGATCTGGATCTACTCTAGACTCATACTTTGAAATGATTCATTCAAGACAAGATCTGAAGAATAAAAAAGTGTCACCCTTACAAAAAACAGGTAGTAGTTCTTTGCAAGGAGGATGACCTCAATATACAAAGTTTTGGAGGCTGAAAAAACTTGCTCAAGAAGATAAAAAAAAAACCTTAATTGAGATAATGTTAAACATAAAATGGTATATACTGCATTATTACTTAAAAATGTATTTCCTGTTATTAATATTTTTCAAGATAATTTTGACTATATAGTGTCCCATTCTTTAAATTTAATATAGTTTATATAACAATACTTTTCAAAAGTAGTTTCAAATTTTTTGTTTTAACAAACAATGGCAACAGAGTTTTACATGTACATACATAAAAATAATATATACATAAATATTTTTGTAAAATTCTTAACTTTTTACAGAAAAAAACTTCAGGAGTGAGCTACTATTTAGTAGATAAATATTTTCAGAGCAAATTGCTCTTCACAAAGTTGAATTATATCACTTACCAGCAGAATAAGAAAACTATTCTAGAAGGAGGATGATCTGAGCAGGATTTTAAATATAAAACATTAAATAAAAATTATTAATTCGGAAAACAATTACCTAGAAATGATTGAGGAACACAATGTTAAGAAAAGCAGTTGTTTCAAAATATGTGTACCAAGATATTTTATTCTCTGAGAATGAATTTATGTTTATAGGACTTTTGAAATAGAAAAATGTGAATGTGTATGCAGTTAGATCAATTAATCTTTTCCTTTATCTCTCTTTTTTTTGTCTTTTATGTTTCTTATTTATAGTATAAATAAACAGGTATATTTTCCTATCAACAAAAGTTCATTCTCAGAGAATAAAATATGTATTGTATAAGGTTTCTTGTAGTATGAATTGCTCACATGTGTTGAGTATTTATCAGGCACTTGCTAAGAATTCAATTTGCATTATGTACTATTCTTCACAGAATCTTATGATTTTATTACCGATGATCATTTCACTCTATTCTATTATCATTGTATGCTATTATTGAAAGAGAAAATTTGTGCTTGTTTTAGCAGCACATATACTAAAACTGGAACGATACAGAGAAGTTTAGCATGGCCCCTGTACAAGGATGACACACAAATTCGTGAAGTGTTCAATATGAAAGAAAGGAAGGAAGAGAGAGAAAAAAAATTTATAGCAATTCTGGTTTTGCATAGACTTAGTGTTTGTAGTCCTACAACCAGGAAGCCGTCCAGATCAACAGTGGTTCAGGATGCTGCTTCCCACCACACCTATACATTATCTTTATAGCCAGAGCAAAGAAAGTAACATACAGAAAGCAGAAATGAAGTACAGAGATTGGGGGGTTAGTTAAAGCTTGATGGGTGCTTTACTTGCATTTTAAATGGTTAACTATCTTTAGTGGACTGAAGCCAGCTGCTATGGTTGGCTGAGACTTAGCTACCTGCTTACCAAAGTAGGTTAGTGTCTCTTTACACATCAGATTAGGTTAGAATTCACTATGTATAGAAAACCTGCAGGTTCAAATGGTCTGTATGGAGACAGCTTTATTACTTAATTACTATCACACCCTCGTCCAGGAGAGCCCAGGGTCAGTCAGCTACAAGCAGTACATCTGAGCTGCATAGAGTTGGTCTCTGTCAAGCATCTGTCAGTTTACATAGAACACTCCCTCTAGTCTGTGGTAGTCCCTTTCCTATCTCTGGGAGACAATACCCAGCCTCCACAACTTAAACGGTTAATTTTGGCTCATCGTTTCAGCCCATGGTCAGCTGGCAGAAATGGCACGTAGAAGGGAATGGAGGAGGAAAGCTGTTCAAAGAGGCACAGCCAGGGAGCAAAAGGAGGATCCAAGGACAAGAACGCCCTTTGCCAAGTCTCATCTTCCCTGCCATCTCCAGCCAGGTCCCACCTCCTAACAGGACCTCAGCTTCTGAACACATCCATGCCTAAGGCCAGTGAGGAGTACAGTGCTCCCATGATCCAATCGCTTTCCATATGCATAAGAATTGTGTGGGGCGTATTAAATCTGAACCATGACATAGACCTTTTGCAGTGCTTGCCCAAAGATAAGCCTGTGCTACTTGGCAGTCATCTGCCCACCTATAGTAGTGAAATTGTATATCTTGCTCATAAACTCACACGTTCTAGGGCCAAAGACAGTAATTCCACAGCCAATGGTCTCCTCTCACTTTCTTCTCTACTGTCAATCAAAGTCAACTCAGGAGAAGGCACCATCAAAACAGAAGATCTTTTTAAAATTTGCATCAGAGATCCAGGGATTGTTTCCATTGAGCTGAGGCAGAAAGCTGTTATGTTGTCAGGAAAGGTAACACTTTATGAGTAAAGTCTTTTTCAATCTTTAAGATGAATAAAGGAAGCCAGCAGCTTGTCCTCTGGGCAGGGTCCTGGGCAGGGCACCTGCTCAGGGTTGGGTAGCACATGCCAGGTTCACCTCCAGAGGAAATGGGCTGCTGACTGCATGCAGCTTACAGTGCTTCTGTAGCTAGGTTCCAGGTCGCAGTCATACGCTTGTTCCTTCATACATTTTTATTATGAGAAGATATTCCAGGATGAATAAGGAATTAGAAAAAATGATTTCTCAGAGAAGATTTAAAAGGCTAAATATGTGAAGTGTAGTTAAACAATAATCAACACCAGTTCTTTCAGAGATGTGGCGATTCCACTGAGCCATGGCATTGTTTGTGCTCACCTAGGAACCGAGGATCAGGACACGGTCTGTTCACACAGCTCTATGGTCAGATGCTTCTTCACCTTTTACTTGTGAAAAAAGCACAGATCTAGCCCTGGATTCAAGTTCAAACTAGCAGTTACCATATGTGTGATCTTTAGCAAAACACTTCACTTAAAGTTTAATCCTATTAACTGGGAATAATATTTTTTACCTCCTAGAAATATTTTGGTAATTAGTGATAAAGTATTCAATAACTGTTATTAACTAATTTGTAGAATTAAACTTATTTTCCCACTCCTACAACAGTATTTTTATTGCCTTATCTTTGTCTTCTTTTCTTATAGCAAAATGATCAAAGTAATAAAAACACACAGATTAAAAACAGTAGTCCTAGAGGGACAATAAAAAAGGAACAGTCATACCTTTCATCCTTTCCAAATCTGTTCTTACTAGACCAAAGTAACTATTTTTAACATATCATCTGGTAGTTGGCCCATATTTCCAGAAATACATTTATATCACTTTTTCTGTAAAATATTCACATGGCAAAACATTTAAAGCTTCAAACATTCAAAAAGGACCATCTGTCATTGTCTTGAGCAGATTTTTCAAAGCTTCCAGTTACAGACCTGGGGCCCTAGTGCTATGCTGAAATCCATGCCCCGCCCCCTCCACATTATGATTCAGGTGTGTCAGGGATACCCATGTGCACCCAAGGGACACGAGGAACTCCTTCAACAAGCAACACCATCTCAAGAACTGCCTACAGCTCTGAGGAAACTTAGACTGAACTTCCTCTCACATTCTTTACCTAGTCTTTCTTTCTGGTCTCATAGAATAAATTTGAAACATTCTTTCCTTTTCAATTCTTTGGAATACTTTGAGATGACTTGGTGTTAATTTCTTAAATATTTGATCCAATTCATCAGTGAAGTGATACAGACCCAGACTTTTCTTTGTTGGAAGACTTACGACTGGTTCAATCTCGTTAGTCATTCTTAATGTATTCAAGTTTTTTATGATTTAGCAGAACACTTTTTGTAGGTCATTTGCTAGGCTTTCTAATTTGTTCTAGGTTTCCTAATTAGTTAGCATACAGATTCGCACAATCTATAATGATCCTCTTTAGATCTGTGGTTTTAATTGTAATGTTTTCCTTTTCATCTCTGATTTTACTTTATTTTGGCTTTCTCTCTTTTTTTATTGGCTTGTCCTGCTAAAACTTTGTAGATCTTATTTTTTAAAAATCTATTTCATTGATCTTTTGTTTTGTTTATTTGTTTCTCTACTTTTGTGGTACCGGGGACTAAACCCAGAGTCTTTCCACTGAGCTGTTTTCACAGTCCTTTTTTGTTTTGAGACAGGATCTCACTAAGTCTCAAACTGCCCGGACCAAACTGGAACTGGTGATGCTCCTGTGTCAGCTTCCCAGAATGCTGAGATTACAACTATATGCCCCCAGGTGCAGCTTAGTTTTAGTTTGTATATTTTTTTATGTCTGTTTCACTCATTTCTTCTCTCACATTTTTCATTTCTTTCCTTATACTAATTTTGGAATTGATTTATAGTCTTGATTTTTTAAATTCTTGAAATGTGTGTCATTAGGTTGTTAATTGAAATTAATCTCTTTTTCTCTTTCTGTTGATTTTGCTATATTCCATAGGTTTTGTTATGTTGCTTCCATTTTCTTCTTTCTGAAGAACTATTAAAATTTCTCTTTTATTTCTTAGATGACCTGTGTTGTTCAATTTTCTTTTTTTTTTTTTAATTTATTTAAAGAAAAGGAAACGAAAAAAAATACATGGAGATTTAAAAAAAAGGGTAGAAATAATTCTAAATTACAGACAAACAAAAGGTAAGAAATTGCCAGTTGATAAGTTACAAATTGTCATCTTCGAAATGGCTGTTCAGGTTATAGAATTAAAGTATATAGAATGACATTCAAAAAAAAAAAAATGACCCTACAAACCATTCTGCTCTATGGCCGAACAAAAGCTCGGTAATATGATTATCAGTCCCACCTATTTGTTTTACATCTCTAAGAGGATAAGGTTAACCATATCAAAACAGAACAGAACATTTTAAAAAAAATAAAAAACAATTTAAAGAAATACAGATTTCAAAGCAAGTCCACTGGGGATCTACCTTATCTAACTGTCTCTAGCTTCTTACAAATAGTTGTCCCTAACTTCACCCACTTTCTATACTTATTGCATATTATAGAACTAATCAAATCATTACAGGATGATGGAGTCTTTTTAGGTCCTCAAGTTCCAAATTAGGGAAGACAATACCAACTACCATCACATCTCTCATTCTCTTTGTGATAGCCGTCCCCATCTCTGCATATGCTGAAGTTGAGCTGAAGAAACCAGTCCAGAGTCATTTTAATCAGCAAGCAATAGATTGCTAGAATTTATATTATAATGCTACAAAATAAGCCTCGGGTTTTTCAGGTCTCTTCCTCAGAGTATTTGTTCCTATCCTCTCTGTATTATAGGGAAAACCAAGTCATAACAAGACAACGAAACAATTTCCTAGATAAACATGCAATGGATAGGACTTATAAAACTATAATATAAATGATCTTCCGTAGCTACTATGTTTTCTCTTGTTATTTTCAATAGATTTGTCGACAACACTGGCTTATTATAGTTAAACATACTATCACCTATTTTTATAAAAACTTATCTTTGACTGCATTGTAGTATTTGAGAGCTGTTACTGATTCATACCAGTATGGATATCCTTTACATCTTGTCATGCTCAGAGTAGTTTCCTCTACTTTTAGGGTTGATTCTAACACGCATACCGATTTCAAATAGGATCAGTCAAGGCCAACCAATAGTTTTATGATTCAGATACAATTAAGATCAGTCATAGTAAGACAATGTAAGTAATACAGAATTTCAGCCTAAGTCAATAGGAAAGTAAGGATAGTTGCCATGGTATAACCTGCTATTTTTGGTTCTAGAGGTCTGTGTCCTCAAATCTGATATGAGTGGACAGACCAGAACAAATTTAATTCAATCTAAATATGTCACTAGGACTACTGTGTCTTTTAAATCGTTATACACCATTAGCAATGACCTCTGCTTTTTTTTTTTAAATATAGTTTCAGAGCTGTCTCTACTAAAGACTAGCTTACCGTCTCTGCCTCATGTCTGCTACTCCACTTTTCTGCTATAATTTGTCCACCTTATTCCCTCATTCCATGGTCTGCCCCGTTCACTGAGGCTTCTCTGCCACTGTAGCTGTAATCCTGATATCGCTTCCTCTCTTTCTCTGTAATGTCCTTCAGCGCTCTCTGTAGGGTTGGATTGGTGGCCACGAACCCCCACAGTTCCTCCTTGTCTTGAAAGTATCTTATTTCTTCATTAATTTTTAGAGAGAGTTTTGACGGATATATGAACTTAGGTTGCATATTTTTTTCCTTCAGGACTTGGAATATTTCTCCCCACTCCCTTCTTGACTTAAGAGTTTGTGTTGATAAGTCTGCTGTTATTTTGATAGATTTCCCATTATAGGTAACCTGCATCCTTTCTCTGGCTGCTTTTAATATTCTGTTTTTTTGGTGGATTTCTGGGATCTCGATTATTATATGCCTAGGCGTAGATCTGTTTTGGTTGTAGGTAGCTGGCGTTCTGTATGCTTCTTTTATCTGGATATCATTTCTTTTTGCTATACGTGGGAAATTTTGCTTTAATATCTCTGTGAATATTTTTTGTATTTCATTTTTGGATGTTCCTGCTTCCTCACTCACATTCTTTATTCTTAGGTTATGTATCTTTTTATCATCTTCCAGTTTTAGAATTGCTTCTTTCTGGTTCCTTGTTATTTTTAAGAGGATTTTTCTTTCACGTTCATAAGCCCTAAATCTCTCTTCAAGTTTCAGAAGGTTGTCTTTAGTTTCTGTCAAGGCATTTTGCCAATATTCAATGGAGTTCTGAGTTTCCTGATATTCTCTTTGGATCTGTTTCATGTATTCTAAGTTATGCTTAAATTCTTCTTCAGATGCTTCTCTTTCTTTTCTGATTTCCTCAGTTCTTCCATCTGTGTTCTCTTGGGCGGGGCTTGTCATTTCTTTAATTAATCTCTTTATATCTTGCCTCACTTGGATCAGGAGTACATCTTTAAATTCCTCTATGAGATCATGTAAGTACTTTTTAATTTCGGCTGATGCTGTGTCGAGTAGAGGATGGTTACTGTGCTTGTTCTCTTCAGTGTTTAGTTCTCTTGGGTTTAATTTCTCCTGTTGAACAGCTGGAGGTTTTTTTTTTTATTTTTATCTCTTGTCATGTTTCTGGTTTCTTTCAGACTGTCCTGGAGTTCTCTGGCCCTCTCCGAATTGCTTAGGGCCTTTCAGAAGCGTGCTGGCTTGAGTTTTTGCTGTCCTCCCCAATTTGCTGTTATCTGGGGTAGGCTGGGATGTAGGGGCGGTACAGTCTAGTCTCTAGCCTCTGTGTCAGTTAGTTCATAAATTAGGCTGTACTTTCTGGTTGTCACTGAGTTGTGACTATTTTGTATCTGCTTATTGGGCCCCAAGCAGAGGCTTGGTTTAGCCCTAGTAGCTCCTGCCAGTTCTCTTTGAATCAGAAGCAGCTGAGTAATGGCACAGGATTCTGCCCAGGTCCCAGCCGTTCTCTTCCAAACCTCTCTGTGATAGGTGCACCAGAAAAGCAGATCTGCCCAAAACAAAGATGGCTCCCACTAAGTTCTCTGTGTGGAGCTGAAGCCAACAAGTAATCAGGCTCTGCCAGGACTCAAGATGTCTTCCACCAGCCCTCCCTACAGGGGGACCTGGTGATGTCACCAAGCTGCGATTTCTGCCGCCGGGCTAATATGTCTGCACCAGACTCTGTGTTATTGATTTCCCCGTGGTGGCGGGCCAGCTGTTCTCTGGCCAAACCCAGCAGCCGCGGGGTTTTTTGTACTCACCAGAGTCCGGTGCAAGTCCTCGTTCCGGGACCGCCGCACACCAAGCTGTCCACTATTCCCCCACTCGCGGCTCAGCGCTGACCGGTCAGATTTCTGTGCACCGTTTAGATTTGAATCGCCAGAGCTTTGTACATCCGCTCTGGTGCAGCGGTGCAGAACTGGCTGCTACTTGGAGTCTCGATCTGGGTCTCAGTTTCCCGCGGTCTCCAAAAGCAACTCAGCTTTTCGTGCTGGGTCCACGAGTCTGTTTCATGTTGTTCAATTTTCATGTATTTGAATATTTTCTAAATTTTCTTTTATTCTTGATGTCTTATTTTATTCCACTGCAATGAGAAAATACACAGTATATGATTTTTTTGAAGTTTCTGTGTGCTAGAGAAAAGAATGTATATCCTTGTAGCTGTTAGATTAGCTGTTCTATAAATGTCTTAAGTTCATTTGATCTATAGTACAGTTTAATTCTTATGTTTCTTCATTAATTTTTCAGGTGGATGATGTGCCCAAAAATGAAAATAGGGTGTTGACATTCTCTACTATTGTTGCATTGGAACTTATCTTTCGCTTTAGACATAATGGTGTCTGATTTATAAAATTGGGTGTTCTAGCATTAGGTGCATATGGATTATAATCATATCTTTTTGTTCATTGATTCCTTGTTCCTTGTGTAGTCTGTTTTATCAGATATAAATACAGCTACTTCTTGTAGCTGTATTTACTTATAAAACATTTTTCACCTTTTTCCTGTCAGTCTGCATGTGTCTTTACTAGTGAGGCGAGTCGCTCATTGGCAACATACTGTTGGATTTTGTTTTTTAATCCATTCGGCTAGTCTATCTTCTTTCCTTCTCTTGTCCATCTTTTGGTTTTATAGTTTGTCATATTAATGTTATGTTTTTGTTTCCTATTTCTCTTTTGTGTACCTGCTCTTCTAGTGGAATTTGTACTTTCAGATCCTTTTTCATACAGTAATTATCTTTCACTTTGGATTTAAAATTCCCATCACGCCTTTAGTAAGACTGATCTGATGGTGATGAATTTCCTGTTTGTGCTTGCTTGGAAGATCTTTATTTCTCCTTCATTTCTGAAGGATAGCCTTATTCACTCTATTGTTTTTGGTTGGTAACCATTTTGCTTCAGGGTTTGAAATACATTGTTCCATTCTCTTTTATAAGTGCCCGCTGAGAAACTTGTTGTCAGTCTATGGAGATACACTTAAGTGTGACACTGCTTTTCTCTTGCACATCTTAGAAATTTTTTTGTCTTGAAGTTTTGATATTAGGATTATGATATGCCATAAAGATATTTTTTCTGGTTACATCTACTTGAGATCTTAAAGGTTTCTGTAAGTATGGATGTCCGTATCATGTCATTCATATTTTCCATTTCCTTCCTAATTTCAGCTAACCATCTGTTTTTCTTGAATCTCTTGAAACTTTAAATAATTATTTTTAAAATCGTTTATCAAGCATTTCATTTGTATGAATTTCTTTGAGGTCTGTTGTTATGGGATTATTATGCTTTTTGGAGGTATCATACTACCTTGCTTTTATTCGTATTTCTTATGAACCTTTCTTGACATTTACATACCTTATAGCTTAAGTATTTCTACCATTTGAAGATGTGTTCTATGATACTAGTTTGTTACACAATGTTGTCTTTATTTAGCCATTCGGTAGCCTTCCTATAGTTTGTTTGACTGTGATTAATGGCTTTAGGCACAGTACATATACTGGCAGAGTAAATCCCCTGTCTCTACAGGCCTTGCAAGAATAGGAGTACTCGGGCCAAGCCGGGGATTTAGCTCAGGGATGTAAGCGCCTGCCTCAGTGCAAGCGCAAGGTTGTAAGTTTGATCCAGGGTACCACACAAATAAATAAATAAATAAATAAATAAATAAATAAATAAAAAAGAATGGGATACTGTAGAAGTTCAGGCAGATGTGATACACACAATAGTGGGTATGGGGTGCTCACTATGTGAATAGTCATACAATGGAAGTAGTGAGCCCTATCAAACAGTGGGAGTTCCCTCAGATTTTGATGACGCTACTATCAAAGAGCCCCTACTTGAAAGGAAATCCTAGCCATGGTATGGGACCTGAAGCATTCATCCTTTGACCAGCTGAGTAGCATTGGGAGAGCAGTTCTGGATACCACCGTACTCCTGATGGACCCGGTCCTGACAGCAGTGCACAATCAGACAAGATGCTGGAGAGGGTACCATCTACAAGGTAAGATGGCAGGGAAACCATATATGTATTCCTCTCCATAGGTAGCGGTTTGTGCTTTGGAACAAGACTGCCATGGTACCAGACAAAGCTCCTTTTGTATATCCCGGGGCAGGGCAAGGTTGGAACTAGGCTTTCAGTAACAGGTACACTTTTTAGTAACAGAGCAGAGGGGTGTCAGGAATCACATGAGCACCCACCTTCAGACCTGGCACTGGTATAAGGCACACATGACTGGCCACACCCTTGGTCTCAGCAGTCAAATGCCGTGATCCCCCAGTACTTAAGGACGTTGCCCCCATCCCCTTCTGCATCATGATACTCATCCCCTATGATACAGGGCATCCCACATAGCCCTCACACTTGGCTGATAGTTTTGCAGGGTATATAATACCTTGAAATCACATTTCTCATCATCTGAAGCATTGTTCTAATGTTCTGTATCCTCAGTTATTGCTGTTGTAAAATCTGATGTTAGTCTAATTCTCAATATTTTTAGTATTCAGTTTTTGTTTCTTGGAAGCTTTTGGTATTTTTCTATTTTACTTTCATGTTTTGCAATTTCACATAGATGTCAAGTTGAACACTTTTTCCTTCGCCATTCTAGATACTCAACAATACTTTAAATGTAAGGACTTATGCTCTTCAGTTCTGTGAAACTAATTTCTTTTATAACTTAATTACCTTTCCTCAGTTTATTATCCAGCTATTTCTGTTAATCTGATACAAAACACTTAGAAGTGACATTTTTTGTCTCTTATCCCTTATCTTTTGTTTCATCTTTTACATACTTTTGTCTTTTTTTTGTAGTACCAGGAATCAAACGCAGGACCTTGAGCTTGCTGGGCAGGTGCTATGCTGCTATTTCCCAGCCCTATTTTTGTCTTTTTAATTCTACTTTCTGGAAGACTTATTCTATTTTACTTTGTAACTTAAAAGAGAAATTTACCATTGTATTTTTTTCAGGAACTCATAATTTGAAGTGTATTCAAAATAATGTGTTGTTGTGTTTATGTCACTATAAATTATATTCCTAGAGAAAGTATATCACTTAAGACATATCCTTTCTTTTAATGGTTGTATTCTATTTCTCTAAAATTTTTCTACTACTCTTTTGAGTAATTTATCTTCATGTGTCTTTTTCTGTTATTCAATTAAGAGTTTGGATCCTCAGTCCTACTTCAATGTAAGGAAACAGGTAGGCTGAATACGAGCTCTGTGTGCCCTGGTGGAGCAGACCAATGGATGAGTGGACAGTAAATAGGTCAGTGTACTTCGAGATTCCTAAATGACACAGTACTACTCCACAAGAGACAATTTTATTCAAATATTCTTGCTCTTCTAGGGGAGTGAAACTTGTTTCTCTCCACCCCAAAATCTAGGGTCAACAGCTGGGACTTTCAAACCAAACTAATAAAAGACAGATTAAGAGGAAAATAAATTTTACTTATGCATATAGGTACAGGAGTTAAAAAAGAAAACAGTGTGACTCAGAGCATCTGCATTATAATCATCAAATAGACTACACAAAGGAAAGCGGGTTATAGGGCTTCTGGATAGGAGAGGCAACTTACAAGAAGCTGAAAGACAGAGCTGGGGATTTAGCTCGTGGCATAAGTGTCTGCCTGCCAAGCGCTAGGTTGTGAGTTTGATCCCCTCCCCCAAAAAGCTGAAAGAAGGAATATATTTTGTAAATATATGGCAAATAGTACCTATGTCTTATTACACAGATAAAAATCTTTCAATTGATATGGGTCTAATAAGGATAACTGTCTTCCTGGTGTGCAGATATGTCTTTACAAATGGACATTTCTGTGACCAAGGGGGAAATTTATATATTCTATTCTTAGGTGAATAGGGAGAGATAAAGAGTTTTTCTTGTGTCTGGTCTTTGTTCATTGCCTTACTTGAAGATACGCCATAGAGGAGTGCCGTGCTCAGATCTGGTTTGAGTGTGTCCCCTAAATGTTCATACCCTGGAATCCTTTTCCCAGTGTGGCAATGCTCACAGGTTATGTCAGCATTATGAGATGGAGCTTAGTGGAAGATGATTAGGCCATTAAGGACACTGCCCTTAGAAGGGGTTAATGTTATTGTTATGGGACCCTGATTAGTTGCTGTGGCAGTAAGTTGATTTTGAAAGAGCAAGCCTACCTCCCCAACCCTATACCTTCCAGTCTCACCATGTGATTCCTTCCATATAATGATTTAAACATTGTGTGAAGATTTCACCAGAGGCCAAAAAGATAAGACAGCCCAATCTAGGACTTTCATTTCTTTATAAAATACTCAGCCTTGGGTACTTTGTTATAGGATCAGGAAATAGATTAATATAGGCATAATTTAGGGTGCTATGTTCTGGTAGCCCTCACTCTGCTTCTTTAGAGAAGAGTCTTCTTTTCTACATTAATAGATAAGTATCTGACTTCTAACATTACGACATTTAATGAGGATATATGGGAAGTAGGCTACTATATCTACAGATGTGTAACTTTTCTTACTGTATTTAGGGACTGGTTTCTCTCCTGAGGTCTGGAGCTTCTCCCTGCAGAGTTCTGCAGACAGACTGGCTTCCTCCTGGCCTGTAGCCATCTCTGTGTGTGTTCCTAGTTCAGTCTCCTCCACTCTACTATCAGTCACTACTTTTTGTCTGCCATAAATGCGCTGAAATCTACTGTACTCTTAGAACCCCTGTCCTTGTATCTCAGTGTCATTACTTTTAAATACTCAGTTATTAGTTTACTACTATCTACCTCCAACTAAAAACTCATCTGTCTCATAGCCATCTATTCTTTTAATCTTGGTTCCACTATCTTCTAAAACTTATTACTTCTCACCCTAAGCTATTACAATAATTCCCTTACTAGCTACTCTAGTTTAACTAGAAAATTATGTCACTTTCCCATCCAAAAGTCTTTACTCCTTTCCAATGACTATAAAATAAAAATTGATATTTGCTTAGCATTGAAAGTTCACAGTAATCTGTCTCTTCTTATGTCCCTTTGATTATCAGATTCCTTCTCCCTCCTACACTGTCTCTGCCAGCCCTCTTTCATGTGGAAATCTCATACTTTATTTCCTTTATTAATACACCAC